CCTGCTGAGTTTGAAAGGTCTATAGCAAACAGCAGCAGTGTTGCAACTTCTGTTTAAGAATCCCTAAGAATCCTTTATAGTGGAAATTAAGTCAAATATGAGGATTGTTACTAATTTATCCTCTTAGAAAATACCTAACAGTATTCTAGGTGTTCTTCTATGATTGAAAATTCACCCTGTCTAAAGGAGCTATCAGTTTTTCTTTTGTGCTGAAACAGCTTGTCATCCCAGGTCAAATGATGGCTTCTTAACCAGAGGTCCTATATGCTTTAAATGTACAGGAGGGTGTAATTAAATGGTACTGGATGAAATGAAAAGAAAAAAAATTACTTTAAGGAAAAATGCTTATGTAACAATGAGATATATTAGTTTCCCAAGGCCAAGTAGTAGAAACTCCAGTTTATTAGGATTATTTAAAACTGGAGAATACATTTTAGGGGATGTTATTAAAATAACACGATTTAAAATTAGGTGATCCACTATATATGTTCTGTTGTTCAAACATTTAGTGCTCTCTAATATCAATACTGTTAGATCTAGATGAATATACCGGACTTGTCTGATACTTTGAAAAAAAATTACTATTAAGGAAGTTAGATCATGTGAATGATCATTCTGATTTTAACATAATATTTTGATTGCAACCATTTTATTATTTTAGTTGCATGTTTGCACTACCTCTGAATAGAGATCCAGACATTCAAACATTTGCATGTCATTTTGGTTCACACTCTTCAGAAAATCTGGACTATTACAGTGAAATCACAATAATGACAAACAGTTATTTTGGTTGTACATACATCCTGTGAGAATCAATATAGATATATGGTTTGTACAGTTGTGGTTTGTAGGGGATTATGAGTTTTCATATAAATCACATTAAGGACATTTCTTTTTCTTCTGCAGACACATTTGAATTATAGTTTTAAAATATATATTGTTTTGGCTCCTTAGCTATGAATCCACGAATCACCCAAAGTGCTCCAGTGAAGCAGCCACCTTCATTAGCTCCTCAGAGTCCTCAAGGAGGTGTGATGGGCAGTGGCAACTCCAATCAACAGCAACAGATGAGATTGCAACAGTTACAAATGGAGAAAGAGAGACTGCGACTGAAGCATCAAGAACTGCTTCGGCAGGTGAGGCCACAGGTTAGACACATGCTTCCACTATATGTTCTTATTTTTGTATGTTTCTGTTGTGCTTAAATTGTACTTTGAGTGTAAAGCATGAGTGACCACATGCAAGGCTTTAAGCCCCAGAAGGACTGCAGGATTGTGCTACCTTTGTTTTGTTGCATCATCAGCTCAGCATGGAAGCCTCAGACATACCTTGTGGAAGGTGTTTGCTTCAGCAAAATTCTTCGCTTACTGATTTTCAGGTGGCAAACTTAGGAAAGCAGCACAGGCTGATGATCTTATCAGAGAGAGAAGGTTTTTTCACGTCCAGTAAACCTGGAATCATTCAGGAGGCAGAAAGGCTGGGTGCCTACAGCATTCCTTTAACCATCATTTTAGGGGAGCAAAAACCCTTTTGAATAGACACCTATTCAAAAAAGGTACATTTTTAGAATACATTGCAATCTAGAAGGATCCCAAAGTCTTTGTAAAGTTCTGTACTATACATGGAAGAATTGTCTTATTGCTGAAAGCTATCCAATTGGGAATGAATTGTCAGGTTGGAAAATGTATTATCAACCCTTCTTGGCTTTGAACGGGAAGTTCTCTTATGTGCAGGTATTTCAGACTCGTGCTTAAACTTTAAGCTGTTCCTTTTAGAACTTTTCTAGTACCAGAAAATGGGCATTGAGAGTTTATTTACTTGAGTATCTCTTTAGGAATTGGGAACTTTGGATTTCAGTTTCCAACTTTTTTTCATTTGTGAACTTAGAAGCAAGAGTTTTAAATAATTTAATCAATTTTCTCCGTCCATAAAATGGCAATGACTGCCTTTCTCGTAGGATATTTTGAAGATTCATTTGATTAAAATGACTATGAAGATGGAAAATATAGAAATTTTTGCTATTATTTATTTAACAGCAGTCTTTTCAATGAGTAATGGCAGTATTAGCAGGAATAGAGGAAAAAGAAAACATAATGTAATGCAGTTTTGTTAAACATATCTAATGTTGGGTAGGGACATAACAAATACATATATCTACCATTTAGTAACGGATGGAAACACGTTATTATACTAATTATATGTTGTGCTAGAAGCAGCTCTTTATATGAGGAAAATGAAAAAAAAATTACATTAGAAAGGTCTTACGTTGTCATGACAAGGAAGTAATTCCAATAGTATTCACTTAAAGCCAACCAAACTTCTGTTGAATATTATATTCCCTTTTACTCTGTTTTTTTAAACTAGCTTTTAATGTAACATTTTACCCAGATTTGATTTATAGATAACAAATTTTGGTTTAGTTTTTGCAACCAAGTTACTCTGGAGACTGTGATATTTTGTTCCAATAAACAAAAGTTCTATTCATTTCAGTATCTTTGGTAGGAAGTTGACTGTTCTTTTGTCCTAGATATTTAGGCATTCTAAGTTTTTAGAATATTTGGAAGTTTTTTGACTTAGGTGAAGCACTAATCTCTTCTTTGACAAGAAAGAACCTTAATCTTATCCTGTTCACTTCTCATTTTGGGTGATGGGCTTTATACCAGAAGATAACATCTTCATGTCCTCAGAGATAACTTCTTTTTTTCTTCATCACCTGCAGTCGACTGTCCTTGTCCTGGAATCTAGCTCCCATGATCTTTTGTACTCAGGGCCAGATTGTAGGTATCTTTATCATCTCTGGATACAAGATGGGAGATCCTTATAGAGTCCAGTGCTTTTTCTTTTCGTTTCGTTTCAAATACTTCAGATAAAAACATGTCTTTAAGATAGCATCTGGTCTCTCTCTGCTTCAGCACCTGGGCTTCTGTTGTTCCTGCTTTGCTATTAATCCTCCAACAAATGTCTACCCTGTGCTAGCATGCTCTTAGATAGGACTTCTAATTTCCTTCTTCCCTCAGTTTTCTTGGAGAAATCTGACTAACTTTGGATGGAGTGACCATCAGTTTCCTTCATAATCTTCCCCTGGGCGTTTAAGCTTCTATGTCATTCATGTACTCAGTTTTTTTGTTTCGTTGTGCGGTGATTTTCATCGGCTCTTAACTCTCTTATCCTATCTCATCTTGGGCTGTCTTGGGGACTTGATACTACAGGATGGTGTTTGTAAGTCAGCCTGCACACCTGAACCATGCAGCTTTAAAGTAATTTGTATCCATCTTATTTTTTACTCTTAGGCATTGCGGAATATCAATCCCAGCACAGCAAATTCTCCAAAACATCAGGTAGGCTCTTAACTGATGTTTCAGCATAATTAGAAGGGGGAAAAAAGCATTAAATTAGGCTAGGTGAGGAGCTTGTGAAATCATCCTGAAAAACAACTAGCCATTCGCTTTTTCAAGCCACTGTCATGACCCTAACATCTGTGTTTTAAATGGTACATTACTTCAATATTATTTCAGTCTCAAAACAATTGGGGAATTTATTACATTTTTTTGCATTGTATTGCAAATAACTTTCTCTTGTTGATCATTCTTGAGGATACTGAAGTACCAATTCTGATCCTATCAGAATAGATAATGTATCTAACCTCCCATTAAATATAACACAGAGTAGCTTGTGGTGTTCAAATACTATTCATATGTTTGAAATGTGGTGGTGTTCTTAAGCACAGTTTGTCTAAACAAATCCCATCTAGAGATTAACGCTCCTGTAAGTTAAGGAAATAAACTCATCTAAAATGCATGCAAGGGATTTAAAGGCAGCAAGCTTGTAAATACAGTATCATTAAGAATATATTAAACTGCTGAAATAGTTTCTGGAATTGAATTATGTATAACATGGAAATCAGGTTAAACAGGCTTTTGCACAAATATAGTTTGTGCATAGATTTTTTAAAAAAAACTATGGAAAAAGAAATAGCGAGAATGTAAAGAATAACTGGGTTCTGGGTAAATAATTGAATGTGAACTCCTAGACCATGGAGAGTTGAAAGCAATGGAATGTTTAATTTGAAAGGTGTATTTCCCTAGATGTCTTAAACCTTAGTTTCACTTTGAACTTGTTACAGTCATCATGTGTAATATTCTTAATATGCCCATTCTTTGGATATTATTCATATTGGCAACTTGAATAGCACATACAAGCTACATGTTTTTGTAATAGGGAAACAAAACAGAATAAAGATACTAATATTACACATTTCCACTACCACAAGAGTTACTTCCCAGGACATGCCGTGTTGCCAAATGGAGCTTCAGAACTTATCTTACAAAACTTCTATAAGCTTTTACATTGTAAAGAGAAATCTTCAAAATAAGGACTTCATGAAAACATGTGCTATGCTGTCTCCCAAAGTCTAACTGATACCCTGGAAGAAAAAAAACCTCTGAAGACTAACTGTGGTAACTAAAATGCCATTATTATCTAATTCAGTGATCATTCTTTGGAGAATCAGCTACCTAATGTGTATTTACATCATTGTTGGTTGCACTGGTGAAGAATGGGAGAACTGTCCCTAAATTACACTGGGATGAGGGGCGTTATTCAAATTCTTTCCATTTCCAGTCTCTCCTTAAATTCAAGTTAAGACACAAGTAGCCACCAACAGATGGGAAAGTGATGCTTTTCTTCCTGAGCTCTAGATGTCATATCTCTAGCATCCAAGCTGGCATCCTTTTTTTTGTATGTTCCCCACCTTACCCCTTTCATAGATCAGAACTTCCACATTCTCTTCTTCTTACAGCAGCCATCAAAGTTGCTTGTGGACAACACAAAAATATACATCAAGTTGAAAGATATTGGGTTGCAAATAAATATTTAATAAAGTTAAGAACAAAATAGTACAGTGAACATAGTACCAATTGTTCATTTTCATATTTAACTCAGTAACAATATTGGGCTGAAAATACTCAGGTTTCTACTTGCAACACAAAATGGTACAAAAGCTACAGGAACCTTGCTGCATAGTGTGCTTTATGGGGTCATGTGTATAATAGTTGAATGAATTAAAACAGGTACAAAATAACACAATGGTCTTTGATCAGGATTGATTTAAACATTTTTGCTAGTGGTGGCTTTTGTAAGTCATAATCATGTGGACCTCTTCTGGATCAGCATCTAAGTGACACCCTCAGTCTTATTCTACAGGCTGGAACAGGTGAATGGGCATACGGGAATATCAGGATTACGTATGAGATTGTTTAGTTCAGGCTTGCATCAGACTCGTCCTTGTTCCCAAGAGGATGTGTGGGACCTATTATATAGTCTGCCTTTTTGGTAAGGGATTCAGTTGTGTTTCAGAGTGTGACCTGAGAGAGACAGAAGTGTGCAAACAGTAGGTCACTCTGTTGTTGGCCTGACAGCTATTGTTCCACTAGTTGTATAACAAAATCTGAATGCATATTTAATGATTTCTTCATATGTCACTTTAACAAGGCAACGAGTGGTCAGAGATGGAAGGAAATTTGAACACATTAAAAAAAAGCATTGAGAGCTTATGCTTGCAAAGAGTTTTGGCCTTTCCTATCAGTAGTACTTTGGAAGTCCCAATTTGCAAAACTGTTATAAGTATTGGACAGCATGATAAATTCCTGTCTTCACCTGGGGAAAAAATACAAAAGTGTGATAAATTTCTTCAGTAGACTGCTTATTGCTGTCAGATCATTCCTGTGCTTGACAGATAAAATCCATCAATTCATACTGGATTAGCACTCCCATAATAGATTTTTTTGGTTTGGGTCAGGGGGAAGGGAATTTGTTTCTTTTAAAGTTTCAAGAAGTATTGAAAGTGCTTCAAGGTGTGACCATCTTTGGGAGCTTCCAAAAGCAGATTAGGCAAATATTTGCTTAGGATGGTTTAGACAAAAATAAACCTTTCTTTAGTAGGGAATTGGACTAATGGCCTCCTGAGGTCTCTTTCCAGTCCCAACTTTTCTGTGATTCCAAGTTGGATCCAGCACTCTTATCACTAGATTAATTAAGTCCTGTAACGGTCTTACTTCCAGAAGTTAAAGAAGCCATTATCTCTCAGATGAGCCCTTGTGCAAAAAAACCCAACATATCTCAGTGCTTTCATTTGGTTAGGGATTTCTCCCATCTGGAGTGAATGCTGACCTTGTGGTAAGGAAACTTTGACTTTACTGGCAGTCCTGAGACTACCTTGACCTGTTTAAGTCCGCTCTTGAGACCAAATAAGATAATGTTGGACTCTTTGGTCGTTTTCTTCTGACAGGGGACAAAAATCAAGTGTTCTTGCCAATTCTTTTAGCTGTCATTTGCCTTTGGCAGTTAATATGAGATATTTGAGTCATCTGTTCTGCACTGAATAGTATCTGTACTACTACCAGGGTTGAGGGTTGTGATTTAGGACATTATTTAACCATATTCTTTGGGCGGTCCTAAACAGAGATGTTTTGCTGATCTGGGGTGTTAGTGAGACAGCACTTCTGTGAAATTCTTTGGCAGAATATTAATTCCTTAATACACCAGTGTGTGAATCTAACATTGTTTTATCATCCATTGGTATGGTTGAAACTTGCTAAAGGAAAGTGTTCAGACAGCGCTTCAGCTCACATTTACGTAGTTAAGATCTGATGAAGAAGTTGCTTAATTTAATTTATTGCTAAGAAATGAAAAAATGTTGCAGGGAGCACTCTAGTATACTACTTTCAAAAGTGTCTAGAAAATGTAAACAAGACAGACTGTGAACAGTCCCAGTTAGTGAAAGGGAGTTCTATGTGGTCAGACTCTGGGCTGCATGCTGGCTGGCAGAAGAATGCTCAAAATGTGAAATTCAATTAATTAATTTTACTGGAAAGGCAGCATTTGTGTTTCAGCTTTCATGGGTACTGTAGTTATAAATATTCCTTGGCTCCTAGAATTGCATACCTGAACGACTTACTCAGGACAATAAATCTAAGTTAAATTTAAGTTTGTTTATTGGTTTAATATGTGGCGAAAGCAAAACTATTAATAGTACAAGGAGTTTCATGCTTCTCTGTTCATTCAAATGTGGGAGATGTTTGAGCATCAACAGCCAGAAATTACAGGGCAGAATATTTCTTTTTACATATGCGTAACTTAAACTAAAAGTATTGTCCCTTTTGGCAAGAAACAAGTTTCTAATGGACTTAAAGGCAAAATCATTTTGCTATTTTCTCTTTTGCCCACTTGTCTATATAACCAGGTGCATGGAAAGCATTTATCTTTCCAGCGAGACAACAGCTCATGAATCCATCTTTTCTCCTGCATTTTTACTTGTCTTTAACTCCCTACAGACTAGTGCTTATGACTACACTGGAGCTGTAGCATACTGCATTGAATTTCCAATGCATACTTGTGCTGTTTTCAGGTTCAGGGTTTATTCATTTGCGTCTTATATAGCATCATTTCCACCTCTATCCCAGTGCTTTCACTACAGTCAAACTAGTACTCAGATGTTATTCTAATTAAGTCCTAAAAATGATGCAACAGATGTTGCATAAGGAATATAAGCGTTTCTTCTTTTTTTAAAGGCTAGAAATTATGCAAAAGCAATTTAAGTCTAGAGGCTGCTCAAATAGCTAGGTATCAGCCAGTTTTTCAAAATGAATACAAGCCTATGAAAATTAGGATTCTTACATGATTCTTGAGTCAAAACCCAGTTTGAAGATTCCATTCATGTTTGGTAATTGCATTGTAATGTATCTGGCTTGCTTATGCATATTAGGTATTTGCCAAATGTTTCGAAACTTTTCTACACTGTGCCAGATCAATCAAGTTAGGTGCTACCAATGCCTTGCTTTTTAGATGCATGGCAATGGAGTGAACCCCATAGTGCAGGGCTAGGTGTCTTCGCCCCCTTTACTGTGCATAGAGAGATCCAATAAATCTATGCTGAACAGAGAGTTGCATTCAGCTAAGAAATTCTGAATACAAAGATATATCTGAATTCCTGCTCCCATCTTGCGCATAGGCACCTAAGTAAGAGCAGCAAGAGAAGGTGCTTCTGTTAATTTAAGACGTAGATCATAGGACTTGCTTCTGCGCATAGATGCCTAAAAGCCTCCTCGCAAAGAATACAGGAGGGCTTGTTCTTCTTATAAGATGACGCTGCTGATTGAGGATGTGGGTGCTGCCTGCCTATACTAGCCTAGTGTGTTGAGTTCTTGCCCAAGAAATGGAAAGCTAGTTTATAATCCCTCCTTGGCCTGTGGGAATTCAAACACTCATTTCCCAGCTCCTACAAAAAGAAGGTGGTCAAGTAGCTGCCAGGCTAGAGCCTAGGCTGTGTAGGGTCATTCTT